GTTGACTTCTCCATGCTTCCTGTTCACTCAGGTCGAAAGAATCGGTATTAGCCTGTGTGTCCATCTACCGTTCTCTGCTGCATCCTACTCCTGCTGCCACTTAGCCATTGACACCGTTTTCACCATTTTTTGTACTCCTCTGGTTTCTCTCGTCATATAGCACTCGTAGTCCTCTGCCAAGGTGATGCCGATTGGGATCAGACCGGCGATAACGCATACTGCCTCCATCGAAATGGTTCTGTACGCACTCACGACTCGCATGGCCATGAGCCGGAACGTACTGCTCAATTTCCTTTGGTTCTGCTTCGTTTTCAGCGCTTCAATCCAGGCTGGACCTCCGTACCTTAGTATCGATGAGGACACACTAGCCAGAAGACGCCTCTTGCTGCTGCTTGGACCAGAATTGTTTGGAATGATTCTGGCTATTGCGTTGATGACCTTCGCCGCCTTCTTGCAAGCATATTCGATGTTGCTGTTAAAGCTTAGCCGATCGTCGATCATCACTCCCTGATACTTCAGCACGCGCTTGGAAACAATGGTGTGCTCTCCAACGGTGATTTCTGCCCGCTGCACTGCTTTGCAGTTACTGACCAACATCACTTCTGTTTTGTGGTGGGCTATCTGCAGCTTCGCTCCTTGCATCCAGTTACCAATCGTATCTATCGCCTCGGTCGCCAGCATTTCCACTTCTTCCAGTAGAGATGTACTTGCCTATAGCTAAAAATCTCTCAAATAAAGATAAAAAAAACTTCTTCCAGCGTCTCACCGGTTACCGTCAAGACGACATCGTCCGCAAAGCCAACGATCTCAACTCCTTTAGGCAGCTTGAGCGTCAGCGCGCCATTGTGCATTCCGTTCCACAGCGTGGGACCTAGAATGGAAACTTGTGAAACTCCCGCCGTGATTCTAAGCGATTTCTGCCCCGTGTCTGTCGCGTAGACCAGGACCCGGTTCTGGAAGTAACTACTTAGAATCCTGCAGAGGTAGTCTGGAACCCTCATTCTATGGAGCGCCTTGGCGATGTCCTCCCAGCTGGCGCTATTGAATGCATTCTTCACATCAATCGTAATCACGGCGCAGTGTCGATTTCCTCTCCGCTTCTGTTTGGAAGTTTTCTCGGCTCTGTCAATCACTGTCCGAATTGCATCCATCTCCCTTTACGGAATCCAAACTGCCTCTCCGACAATCCGTGTTCACTCTCCGTGAATTTCGGCAGCCTGTTCAGGATGATCCTCTCTAAGAGCTTTCCGACAGTATCCAGCAAGCATATTGGCCTATACGATGCAGGATCCCAGGTGGTTTTCCGGGCTTCGGCAACAGCACAAGCTTTTGTACCTTCCACCCAACAGAGAACTGACCCTCGTCCAGACATTTCTGCAGCACCATCCTGAACATGTCCGGGAACGTCTGGATCGCCGCCTTCAACGCCACGTTGGGAATTCCATCCGGGCCAGGAGCTTTATTCGCCTTCAACTCTTTCGCTGCTGCTATGAGTTCCTCGTTGGAGACTTGTTCAACGTTGTCTTCATCTTTCTCGCCTTATGGTGTAGGTGGCCAGTTCGTTGGGTCATGCTGTGGGAAAAGTCCCTCCACGATGACTTTCAGTTTGATGGAACACATTTCAACCGGCATGGTTGGACCTCTGATCTTCGCCATCGCGACTCGGTATGCGTTGCCCCAGGGGAAGGCATCGGCGTCGCGGCACAGCTCCTTGAAACTATTTGACTTGCTCAGCTTTATCTTTAGTTTCAGTGCAGCCCTGGCCTCTCGGAACACCACCCTGCGCTCCTCTCTGTCTACTTCTGTTCTTGCTCTCTGAGCACGCCTTCTGGTTAGAAGACTAGTAACACGGAGGGTGCTAATTTCCTCGTTCCACCAGTAAGCTGGACGACGCCTGTTCGTTGGCTTCAGTTTTCTCGGCATAGTTGTGCACATGCCCTTGCTAATGATTCGGTCAACTCGTTCGCGCTTAGGCCCGGGACGCTGCTGTTTACCCGTAGAGCATCGATGTAGAAATCCTTATTGAATGCCTTTGTCTTCCATTTCCGCTCGCTTACTTTCGCCTTCCACATTTCCACCGGTGTCCGTTCGTCGATACTGTACCAGATCGCCTGATGATCACTATGGGTGTACTCTTCGCACACTCTCCAGTTCATATTTGCCATTAGCGACGTACTGCATAAAATGACGTCGATAATGGATTCCCTACCATCTTTGCGGAAGGTGCTGATGGTTCCTACGTTGGCCAGACTGACGTTCAACTTTGCCAGAGCTTCCAGCAGGGCGTTAGCAACAATCAATACGAAACTAACGATTTTAAATTGGCTCACCACTTTAGTAGCCTATTGGTCCCAAGCAAACGATTAACGTACCCTATTCTAGTTAAAATTCTATTACTACACTATGTTTGTTTTGATTCGCTATGAAAGTTTGACAGATAACATCAGGGGTGTGTGGATTCATGCAGAACATGCAGGGGTGAGTGAAATAGCTTGGGACTGCTTGGGACCGTTGTTCTGGTACTGAGTGAGCCAAAAATAATAATGATTTTCTTCGGGACCCAGTGGTCTTAGAGTTACCTCTATGGCGTTAGCCTGCATTCTTGTATTCGGTCTCATTAAATGTATAAAAACAGATCAAGGTACAGAGTACAAGGGAGTGTTTGATGAAATATGTAATTTACTTCAAATAGACCATAAATGCTCTACAGCATATCATCCCCAAACAATTGGCGCTCTGGAACGCAATCACAAATGCTTAAATGAGTATTTGAGGACGTTTGGAAACGAGCGTAGAAATGATTGGGATGAATGGCTGTCCTTTTATTGTTTTTGTTATAATACAACACCGAACATACAACACAACTACACGCCATTTGAAATTATTAACATTAATTAATTATTAAAATACATCTAACAGTAAAATCACTCCTTCAGACATAACATTAGGCGATACAGTATATTTACAAATTGAAAATAGGCACAAATTAGAACCAGTTTATAACGGCCCATTCAAAGTAATTAGACTAAATCCATCAAATGCTACAATACTTGACAAAGACAATAAACAACAGGAAGTACACTTATCAAGATTGATAAAATAAATTCAAAAAAATATATTTGGTAGTGCATTTCTTTCTCTGTTATAGGGGGACGGGGTGCGTTAAAAAAACAGAAAAAAAAATGTGCGATACATTTGAAGTCAAAATAATTTCCATTACATTCAATCATTTTTTCCTTAAGGGGAATGGTGTGACATGCGCAACTCACATGTCATCAATTTCCAAAAATCATTTCAGTTTTCAATTAGTAACAAACATTTTCCCATGCCTCACTCGGACATCGAACTCCTTACGCAGCAAGTGCATGGAGCAGTTCGATGAACACTAAAACAAATTCAATAACCCATACTCGGCGTCTAAGGGTATCGTATTGCTTGTCGCCAAGGCGCACTCCGGGCAACCGATATTCCTAGTTGCTAAGCCGTTTTCAGCGCAACCGACTTAACCAATTTGCCTTCTCCAAATTCTTTCTGCATCGTCCGGAGTGTCTCGTATCTGCATGCACGTCATTTTTTCCTCGTTGTTGTAGTTTGAAGTCGATGGTTACTGAACCGTGTGAGCCGCTGGCGATGATGATAGCGTTTATGTTTGCATTTCCCGTTACTAAATTCGTCCGTTTTGTTGCACTAACGATAGGCTGGCTCCTCTTGCGTTGGTACACCTGCTCCCCCAATCCACTGCCCAAGCATTGAAATCTCCTGCGATGATGACTGGTCTCAGTCCAATGAGCTCTCCGGTGAGCCCATCTAGCATCTGGTGGAACTGCTCAATTGTCCATCTCGGGGGTGCGTAGCAACTACATACATAGATTCCATTGATTTTGGCGATCACGAAACCTTTGTATGAGCCCGCCACCCCTTGTTGAATGGGATACCTGCCCATGACTTGTATGGTCGCCATTCCTGCTCTATCCGCCACCCAGTTACCATTATCGAGAGGGAATCGATATGGCTCTGCAATGATATCAGATCTGTCAGGGCCTTTGCAGTTTCTCGCCTGGTGACCGAAGCCCATGCATTTGTAGCATCTCTCCATTTTCTTAGACATCCGAGGAATAGCTTTCAACGGGCACACTGACCACCCAACCTTGATTCGGCCTGTCTTCAGCAGCTCGTTAGCAGCGTCCGAAGAAAGTCGTATCGACGCCGTCTGCGTGCCACCATACGCCTACCTCAACCGAATTGCCATCGGTACGTCTCCCAGGTTGCATTGCACCTTCAGCGCACTTTTCAACTCGTCTTCTGTTGTGATCTCGTCCAGATCCCTGCACTCGACCACTGACTCCTGGGATAAGGCTCTTACGTTCGCCGTCTCGCCAAGAGATTTTTCGACGAGCTCCTTAAAAGCTGCGCTCTTAACCGTAGGATCTCTTTTCAGCTCGAATAGCATCTTGCCGTTTTGGGTTCGCCTGGTTTTCACCACGTTCTCACCTAGTTGTTTCAACTCCGGATCCTCTCTCACTTTCCGGAGAAGTGCTGCGTAGGACGTTTTGTCCATCGCCTCAACAACCAGAGCGTCACCCTTGCTTCTCTCCCTACGAGGCCTAGGCTTCTCCTTATTCTTCCTGTCTTCCTTCTTCTTCTCTTCCTTCTTCCTCGCTTCCTCTTCCTTCTTCCTCGCTTCCTCTTCCTTCTTCCTCGCTTCCTGTTCCTTCTTCCTCGCTTCCTCTTCCTTCTTCCTCTACTTCTGGTTCTCGACTTTATGCCACTCACCATTTTCTCCCATCTCCTTGATGCCTTCCTCGTCGTCCCTGCGTTTTTTGGGCTCTTCCTCATCTCCTGGCATGTCCCTATCTCTCTTTTCAGGACGTGGATTTGTGGGTCCCTTCGGCTTCTCATGTGCTTGAGCCAGTCTTATGCTCTGCTTAGCCTCCAGCAGAGCCTTTTCGGCATTTTCGGCTCTTTTTCTCCACTCTAGAAATTCCCGATCTGCCACTGTTATGCCGGATTTGATACCGGCCACAAGTCGCTTGATCTCTTTGTGTACGTTGTTTTTATCCTTCAAGAACACATAGAGTTCATCGATCTTCCTCCTGACCTCCGTCATTTTGGTTCTCCCAAGCTGCAGTTCTTGAGATTTGCTACTGCTGGATATCGGTGTGCACATCTGGCTAAACCCAACGCCTGACTGCTCTTCTCGAGACTTATTGCTGCTGCTAGAACTCGCATTGGCCCCCAGGTTCGACACTGGTGATCTCTGCAATATCCCGCTCCTTGCGAACACGTTCGCTCCTCCGTTTTCACTGTCTGGCGTCTTGCCGTCGTCGTTCATATTTTTTTTTTGGTTTTTTTCATTTCTTCATTTTTGTTTTTTTCTCCGATTTTCTCCATTCTGATAGGTCCCCCCTCCAGGCCGCTATCTCCACTCGTTGTATGTAGTCTCATCGTGATCCCATGGTTATCTATGCACGCAGGGAGGCCATGCTAGAGTTGACACGGTCCTTCATGGAGGCCGTGTTCAGAGCCAGATCGGCGTAAGTCAGGAATGTTACATCTGAGCCTACTACTCACCAACCACCAATTGGTGACGAGTTTGGAATGTATTCGGAGGCCTGCCAAGGTTTTACCGGGACGGGGGCAGCCGCACTATTAGTCTACTCGCCATTTCAAGAAGGTGTCACCCTTCTTTACTCAGAGAGCAGAATAGCACGACTGTCAGCCCTGTAGCGGGGTATCCAATCCATTGTGCCGTGTCGTGTCCATTATTCCATGCCGTGTCCAGTATGCCGTAATAAGGATCTTACTGGCGTCGATCCTAATGTGCCGGTTGGTACTCCTGCGGGTTAACGTGTTCCACGGTTCCGTGTGACCTTTTCTGGTTCAGCCCTTCCTCACTACATCGAGCTGGGAAAACTTCGACTACCTGTGCGCTTGTTCGTTCCCCGGGTCATGAACTGCCAAAACTGTAAGCAGTTGGGACATACGGCGTCCCACTGTGGCAGCAAGGTACGCTGTTCCAAATGCGGAGAGAAGCACGAGGATGGCGCCTGCACAGTCACTGCACCAAAATGCGTGTACTGTAAGGGAACTCCTCATGGTCTCTTGTCATGCCCGGTGTACAAACAACGCGGGGAGAAATTACAACGCTCACTCAAGGAACGTTCCCGGCAGACTTTTGCGGAAATGCTTAAGACGGCCACGCCATCGACCAACGACAAAAATCCATTCTCTCTTTTGTCAGATGACGAGACTGACTCTAACTTGGCTGAGGAGGGAACTTCTTTCCGTTTTTCTGCACGGAAACGAAAACGCATCCGTTCGCGGAAAGTTGACAATGAAGAACCCCAAACCAGCTTGCCCAAATCAAGGAGTGGTGGAAAAAAAGAGACTTCTACTCCTCCTGGGTTCCGCAGAACTGACTATACCCAGGATTTTCCACCTCTCCCGGGGACATCCAAAACCCCTGATGTCCCATTTTTAAGAACAGAAGCCCCTTCTTCATCTGGGTTGTTCTCATTTGATAAAATTGTGGACGATATCCTCAAGTACCTCAATATTTCTGATCCTCTCAAAAGCATTGTTCTGGCAATGCTTCCTTCTGTGAAGACCCTCTTGAAGCAATTGACATTGAAGTGGCCCCTTCTTGCAGCAATCATTTCCTTCGATGGATAATTTTCCAAACGAAGTCGGGGATTTGATCACTGTTCTACAGTGGAATTGCCGAAGCCTTATTCCAAAATTAGACTCTTTTAAGTTTTTAGTTCACAATAATGATTGTGATGCATTTGCTCTTTGTGATGCATTTGCTCTTTGTGATGCATTTGCTCTTTGTGAAACTTGGCTCTCTTCAGATATAGATCTTCCTTTTTATGATTTTAACATTATTCGACTGGATCGTGAGGATTCGCGTGGAGGAGGAGTACTTTTGGGGATCAAAAAGTGCCATTCCTTCTACAGAGTGAATCTTCCACAATTTACAGGTAATGAAGTTGTCGCATGTCAGGCTATTATTAAAGGTAAGAGCCTTTGTATTGCTTCTGTTTATATTCCTCCTAGAGCCGTTGTTAATCGAAAACAACTTTCAGATATATGTTCAGTACTTCCTGCTCCACGGTTGATTATGGGAGATTTTACTTCCCACGGTACAGGCTGGGGGAACTGTATGACAACCGTTCTACTATGATATATGACCTCTGTGACAACTTCAATATGACAATTCTTAACAATGGAGAAGTAACACGTTTGGCTGGTCCATCCTCAAATGGAAGTAAATTAGACCTCACACTTTGCTCTAACTCATTATCGTTGGATTGCACGTGGAATGTGATCCAAGATCCCCACGGTAGTGATCACTTGCCGATCAAAATTTCGATTGCCAGTGGGTTCAATCCGTCGGAATCCGTTAACGTTGCGTACGACCTCACCCGTAATATCGATTGGACAACGTTCAAGACCGCGATAGAGGAAGCCGTGTCGTCGGTAGAAGGGCTTCCACCGTTGGAGGAATATAACTTCCTCTCCAATCTGATCTTGGACAGCGCGCTTCGAGCTCAAACTCGGCCGGTTCCTGGAACGTCTTTCCGTAGGAAACCTCCTTCCTCTTGGTGGAACCAGCAATGCACTGAGGTTTATCGTAAAAAGTCCAACGCGTTTAAGCTTTTCCGGAAACGTGGAACACCCGTGAATTTCGAAGCGTACTCTTCTCTTGAACGCAAACTCAAGAGCCTCATTAAAGCCAAGAAACGCGGATACTGGCGGCAATTCGTGGACGGCTTATCGTGCGAAACATCGATGAATACGCTTTGGAACGCGGCGCGAAGGATGCGTAACCGGTCTTCGAACAACGAGAGCGAGGAGTACTTAGATCGTTGGATTCTCACGTGCCGGCACAGATGATTCCTCGTGAAACGACGAATTCGGTAGACGAGATCAGCCAGCCTTTTTCAATGCTGGAACTCTTACTCGCGCTCCTTTCGTGTGGCAATTCTGCTCCGGGGGCTGATAGAATCAAGTTCAACTTGTTGAAGAACCTCCCAGACGTCGCTAAGAGATGCATGTTGAACTTGTTTTGTCAGTTTGGAGCTCAATATTGTTCCGGATGATTGGAGGCATGTGAGAGTTATAGCCATTAAAAAGCCTGAAAACCCCGCTTCAGATCATAACTCGTATCGTCCCATCGTGATGTTATCGTGCATTCGAAAATTGTTGGAGAAAATGATCCTTTTTCGCTTGGACAAATGGGTTGAGACGAACCAGCTACTCTCAGATACTCAATTTGGATTCCGTAGGGGCAAGGGAACGAACGACTGTCTCGCGTTGCTTTCCACAGAAATTCAGTTGGCTTTTGCTAAAAAAGAGCAAATGGCTTCTGTTTTCTTGGATATCAAGGGGGCTTTTGATTCAGTATCGGTTGAAGTCCTTTCAGACAAACTCCACGCTTGTGGCCTTTCTCCATTAATAAATAACTTTTTGTACAATTTGCTGTCAGAGAAACATATGAGCTTTTCTCATGGAAACTCTACAGCTTCTCGATTTAGTTACATGGGTCTCCCCCAGGGCTCATGTTTAAGACCCCTTTTGTATAATTTCTACGTCAGAGAAATTGACAATTGTCTAAGTGACATCTGCACGTTGAGACAACTTGCAGATGACGGCGTAGTGTCTATGACAGGGCCCAAAGGGGTCGACCTGCAAGGACCCTTACAGGATACCTTAGACAATTTGTCTACTTGGGCTATTCAGCTAGGTATCGAATTCTCCACGGAGAAAACTGAGTTGGTCGTTTTTTCTAGGAAACATAGCCCAGCACAACCAAAGCTTCAACTTTTGGGTAAACCGATCACTCATTCTATGTCCTTCAAATATCTTGGGGTCTGGTTCGATTCAAAATGCACCTGGAGATCCCACATTGAGTATCTGAGACGAAAATGCCAACAAAGGATCAATTTTCTCCGAACATAATTGTGGGGAGCTCATCCAAAAGATCTTCTAACGTTGTACCGGACAACGATTTTATCGGTTTTAGAATACGGTAGTTTTTGTTTCCAGTCGGCGGCTAAAACTCACATCATCAAACTGGAACGTATCCAGTATCGTTGTCTTCGTATCGCGTTAGGATGCATGCACTCGACTCATACGATGAGTCTAGAAGTGTTGGCGGGCATATTGCCACTATCGGATCGGTTTTCGGAATTGTCCCTCAGGCTCCTCACCCGTTGTGAAGTTATGAACCCACTGGTAATCGAAAACTTTGAAAAGCTTCTTAAGCTGAACCCTCAAACTCGTTTTATGTCATTGTACTACGTGTACATAACACTGGATGTCAGCCCTTCACAGCATAATCCTCATCGTGTATGCTTCTCCGACTTCGGCAATTCAGTTAGTTTTGATTTATCTATGACGCGGGAGATTCGTGGGATCCCAGAACATCATCGTTCCATGATTGTTCCGTCAATTTATGATGCAAAGTTTGGCCAAGTTGATTCCGCAAGATCGTTCTTCACAGATGGATCATTAATAGAGGCGTCCGCTGGTTTTGGTATTTATAACGAATTTCATAGCGCCTCTCGAATGTTTCAAGCTCCCTGTTCCGTATATGTTGCTGAACTGGCGGCTATATACTATACGCTAGAAACAATCGCCTCACTTCCACCAGATCACTATTTTATTTTTACGGATAGTCTCAGTTCTGTCGAGGCTATTCGCTCTATGAGGCCGGTAAAGCACTCCTCGTATTTTCTCATGAAAATACGAGAGCTTCTAAGTGCTTTATCTTTAAGATCTTTTGTCATCACCTTTGCATGGGTCCCATCTCATTGCTCGATTCCGGGCAATGAGATGGCGGCCTCACTTGCTAAGGTGAGCGCTATGGAAGGTGATATTTACGATCGACAAATCGCCTACGATGAAGTTTTCTTCATTTATCGTCAACAGTCACTCGTCAGCTGGCAGAATAAATGGAGTGAAGGAAGTTTGGGACGATGGCTATATTCGATCATCCCTAAGGTGTCGAAGAGTCCTTGGTTCAAGGGGTTGGATGTGGTTCGAGACTTCATTCGTATGATGTCTCGCCTCATGTCCAATCACTACTCGTTAAACGCTCACTTGTTCCGTGTTGGGCTGGGGGACAGCAATCTCTGTGAATGTGGACAAGGTTACCAGGACGCAGATCACATTATTTGGTCTTGTGCTGAGCATTGCGGAGTCAGATCTGAGTTGTATGATTCCCTTCGGGCTCGAGGTAGACAACCTAATGTTCCAGTTCGAGATATTTTGGGTAGACGCGATCTGGAGTTTATGAAACTTATATATGTTTTCTTTAAGAATATTAACTTTAGATTGTAAGTTTGACTAACCTTGTGTTTAGTTTTTGTTTTGTTCGTGTGGGTTTTTTTTTCAATGTTTGTTTCTGTAATAATTGTATAATTACACTGTGGATACCAAATTGAATAGGAATAAGTTCATGTTTTAGGAATAATGAAATATTTGTATCTAAGACATCAATTATGTATAACGCAAATGATAACTTGGCTCTGTAAAGTTTATTCGATTGAGCCTGAACAAATAAATTAATTAATAAATAAAAACATCTAAGTAAACCACCTGAAGTCTTGGCAGCCGAGAGTGGAACCATGGAGTTCGCTTTGAACTTACCTCCAGTGATAATCCCCCGGTTAATTCAACGTGCCGGATCTCCTCTGGCAATGACCCGGAAATCGTTGCACAGCTAGAAACTGACCACAACCAGCTAAAAAATTGTAACCTCTCCTCATTTATAAAACTGTTCACCTGTGTACCACTTGAGAATAAATAAAACTACAGTATTGTTTATCTTATGCTCAATTATCATATACATTATTTGGAAAAAAAATCAATTAAAACATTTTTTTTGTAATAAATTTTAAAAATAAGGCCTGGTTTACCCAATATTCACTCTTAACGAAACACTTACATTTGATTCAAAATGGAGTCTTCGCAAAATACTCAAAATTGGATATTTCGCAAAGAACTCAATTTTGTCTGGTTGCAGCTACACGGTAAGAAAAAAGTACCCAACGGCCAGTTCACTTTTACCTACTTTTGACTAGTTTGTCTCGTTTTCTCCTTCTAATGTTGTCAAAAACGGAGGAGCAAAACCACCCAACAGGGGTAGTAAAGTGTGGGAACCCAACGTTGAGTATAATCATATTTACCTACTGTTGGGTACAACTAACTTACTTTTGCGTTGAAAGCTAGTGGAAAATTCCATACGAATTGCACACAAGTAAATGAAAACTACTTTGACCCGCTTTACCTATTTTTGGGTTCCTGCACTATAGTGCCGAGATGAGTGAAAAGAACTTACTTTTGGGTACTTTTTTCTAACCGTGTAGGTGTCAAGATGAGTACAAAAGACTTAATTTTGAGTTGTTTCGTTTCTCCGTGTACTATACAAGGTGTTTCGTGAAAACCCATTTATGGGTAAAAAATACCCATTTTCAAACCATGTATGCAGCTGAGAGGTTCAAAGTCGTAGCCTGAATATTCATCTTGATCCGGCAACGGGAAACCATCTACACACTTAAATTTTTTCGCCGAGATTCCAACAGCCGAGTAGTTCGACAGTGAGCATTCATAAGGGCGTATACGCGATGATCGATTCTCTTCATCGATTTTCTCTTTTCTTAATAACTCGCTAGATTTAACGTTTGTCGGTGCGTTTGTTGTTGCTTTTGAAAGCCAATACAACCTATTACAACTCTACATTGAACAAATTCTACAAAATTGTTTCGCTTAGCTGTAGCAATGCAAAGAGAAAAACGATGAAGAGAATCGATCATCGCGTATACGCCCTTATGCATGCTCACTGTCGAGTTCTGCAATTAAATGAGAATGAAACTAGGAATAGGAACTGCATGATCGTTTGCGCAGTTCTTCCCGTAAAAAGAATTTTCATCAGTAGCTACTATCATTGCTTATTTGAAGGCGCAACCGAATTGAAAAGCGTTCGGGGCATCGTTGAAGTCACACCAGCGTTTGATTTTTGCTTGGTAATACCTTGTTATTTGCGCACCAATAAAACTCGCACTTGCTTTGATCGGTTTGGTTAGAGTCGGTGTATAATGAGTCACGTCAAGAGAAAAACAGTTGAACTCGCATCACGGTTTTCGAAAGATTCCCTTTCTTTTAACTTGGCAACAGAGGACTTTTGCATCAACTTCAAATGACTTCTAGCGAGGATAAAAATTAACGGCTGTAGTAAATCATTATACACAGAAAAAAAAGTTGTTGAATATTACGTCCAAACTGCTGCAACCAGGTCAACCCATCGGTTGTGTAATATAACGGTGTACGATGTACATCGATTTTGCGAACAAAATAACATCCATTCAGTGCCAACATTTCAAAGGGGCGTAATTGCTTTTGTAAACAATGACTTTAGCCGTCAATTTCTCGCGAATGAAATCTTACCTCTCCAAAATAGCAATGCTAGCTGGTAGAGGAAACATTCCTCTACCTTCTGGTGTCATTATTTTTCATGAGTGAGCTTTTATTCGCGAGAAATCGACGGCTAAAGCCATTGTTTACAAATGCAATTACGCCCCTTTGAAATGTTGGCACTGCATTGATGTAATATTGTATTTGCTTTTTGCTATTACATCATTATTTCATACATCAACTTGAATTACATTGATCGATATTACATTTTTTTTTGCAGTGTATCAGTGATTTTGTCGAATTATCTTAAGGAAAAATAGTATAAATTGCCATTACTGATCATTACAAAACGTATCCCATGACAAATGTAATGCTCACTGCGTGTATATGATCATTTCTTCGGTTATATTTAATATTTAATTGCAATACCTTTCGTGGACCTTTCATAGCATCGTAATGCTTGCTTACTTTGCACGATAGGTAGCCGATTTGACAGTTCAATAGGTAGACTTGGCTTCACTCTTGGCGTGACTCATTATACACCGACTCTAGGTTTGGTCAAAAAAAAATTGACATCTATATAAGATGACGTCTGCCGGTCGTTGACATCGATGGGCAGCGGCACTAGCGCCACCACGATATTGCTAGTTTAAAATGTAAATTCAAAATAGCAGTTAAATTGCTTACACACTTTAGGAATTTGACTTGGATGTCTGTTCTCTGTGGTTTACCCATTTTTGGATAGGTTCTGTTTTGACCGATCTGGGTGGATGCCACCCAAATTTGAAAAGTTTTGAAATAGCGTGCACATAATTACGTTGGAACTGTCAAATAATTGATTAATTTTTATTTTTTCAATTCCAGATAGGAGTCTAAATGACGAAGATCTGATGATGGAGCCGGATGAACACAGTGGCGATTCAGCGACACAAGCTACTGTCAGGCGTTCGACTGCTGTTAGTGCATTACATCTCCCCTACAATCAACACATTTATATAACAGCAACAAGGCGCGATGAGAACGAACAACTTACAGATGAGGAAAAAGCAGCGGCTACATCCCAAGGGTTTTACCCTTCCTTTATGCGAAGTTCACGGCAATACTTCCAGCCTTCCGAAAGTGATCGATTTCGACAATCAACAGCTGGACGAGCTAAATTCGCCGAGCAAGTTTTGCTAGGTTCGGGTGATTTTGGCGTTCTCAAGGGAGGAACCTTTTATCAAGACACCGATCCACCGCTTAGAGCTTTTCATAACGATTTTTATGGACTCAACCTAAAAAGCCACAATGGTCATCAGAGACCTTTTGCAGCTCCATTAGTGCAAAAATTCCGTTACCCATCGGAATCTTCCGATCCGTTCTCGAACTTTCGCGATTTCGCCGACATTAACGTTTCTAACGACGCTGGTCAATATTCTGAATTCTATGTCGTATACGCTAATAAGAATAGTAGTCAGACTAAACCAGATGTAACGAAAAAGAAAATTGATGCAAGTAAAAAGCCTATTAGAAACATAAAAGATCAACTAGATCTCATAGATAAAGAAAAAAGTTCGGAACATAAGTTAGCAAAACTCAGTAAAAGTAAAATAAAATTAGTTAAAATTAGAAAACAAGCTGATAAAAAATCTAAGATAAAAATTCCAGTAGATGTCACTAGTACAACGTTAAGCCCAGATTCCGAAAGTGATTTCATGCTAGCGCTAAGTTAGAACTCAACACTACAATACGAAGCAAATAGAAATTAATCTAGAATCTCTGTCTAGACGCAATTTAGTGTATAATTAAAGACTGTGAACCTATCGTTAACCTTAAATTTATGAGGTGCATATTTTGTACAGTGAGATGAATGAAAACGATTCTGTTGCGTGTAATAGATTAGAATAACAAACTTGATGGAACTGACGAAAAGTGCAGTTCGTCAAGTGCCAAACATATTTGTCGGTAATAAAATTAGAACCAAAAATTGCAATATCCTATCACAATCCATCAAATATGTTTCATCCAGCTCTCATCGTTTCATACAAAAGATATAAAGAAATGATAAATGGTTGTGATATGTAATCATAGGCACTGTCGCCTCACTGGCGATCGCATATTTTCCATGTTCGAAAATGTCTGTGTTATCGATCGACCAGTTTTCGACTAGAACTCAGCCACGCTTGTCAAAATTTAACTTCTTGTCTGTCAAAAACAACCACGCTCGGATAGCAGGGCTTTTCGATAACGAGTTAAATTTAACATGCTAATTAAGACACTGCCTAAATATCCGATCTGGGGGAATGCCTTTTGCATAATTATATCAAAATCTTAAGTGCCACAAGCAAAAATAACATAATAATACCATAGAGGTAACTCTAAGACCAGAAAGTCCCGAAGAAACGTGCTCAACTTTTTGGCTCAGCTCTGGTACTATCTTCGGTCCCTAGCTGATCGATGCACCCATCGAAACCTGGGACATCGAAACATAGGAAAATCCACGAATCCCTAATTTTATCTGTCAAACTTTCATAGTGAATCAAAACAAATATTGGCGTTGACGGCGACTCTGTAGCTCTTTACTCCTATGAGAAAATCCATAAGCAAACGTCAGATTGTGCGTGAAACATGGCGGACTTTGTACTATCCTTTCACTCCACCGAAAATTCTCATAAGAAACTGTCTATATTTGCTGAAAGAGAAAATGTTTCGACGGTGCCGTCAACGCCAATAGTGTCGTATATTTAGCCACAAGAAATCAGTATGAAACAGTGGCGCCGATGGTGTAGTGGTAAGCGTGATTACTTCTCACTCCAGCAGGCCTGGGTTCAATCCCAGTCAGCGCCGCCGGGATGTTCTGAGGCATCCCCGGTTCCCGGTTCATGAGTTGATGGGTCAATAGGTAGGGTCCAGGTGTGGGAGCTGCCTTCCTGGCGTCGGTAGCATTGGTGCTCAGCACGGAAAACAAGATCGACGGAAAACAAATCAAGGAAAAAAAATCAGTATGAATTTCATTGATTTGCCCTATGAAAAATAATGTTGACAAAAAAATAATATATCTGAGCAGACTGGAACCGGACCATGTGTCGTGACCTGGCCGAGGTTTCAAGCCTCGGTCATTCGTCTTAACAATGCCGCTCGCGCCAGCACTCACAGACAGACAAACCCTAAGAGGAAGAGGTGACAATTGGCTTCTTACTCTTTAATTTCTATCTTTATCTATGTCTATCTCTATCTTACATACATACATTTATTTGTACAACATCACATTTAAGATAAGACATAATCAACAATAGTACGCCACAATACTCGGTTTGCGGCTGCCGCTCTCCATCCTCGGTCATGCCCAATGCTCTCTGCGCTCCACGCCTTCTTGTGCCAACCGGATCAGTAGCGAACACCAACTTTGCAGGGTTGTTGTCCGGCATTCTTGCAACAATTCAGTGTTTGAAGTTTTCACTGTTCACTGAATAATTCACGTGTATTTTCGTAACCGTTGGACTCCCATGTGTCAGTAAACTAAACTGATTTCCTTGTATCGGCGAAACGACGAATCATGGCACATAAAGAATAAGAGAAAAATAAATCTTGCTTCATCGATGATCAAATACGTTCACACAAACGATTTACTACTGACGGTATCATCGAAAGAATCTTTATATTCGTGTGTACCATTCGGCATAGATTGTGTGCGTTAGTTTCTGTTCATGATACATCTGCGTATCAATGGTTCATATTCAGCAACATGTAATGACACTGAATATGGATGGTCAAAAGCTGTTGCATAAAGTGAACATTAACTTTGCACATCGAATTAGGTGGGTTATTATGGGAGATTTTGTATTGCCAGGTTCCTACTTTTGCGTATATATTCTTAATAAATATAAACATTGAAATACTTTATTCCTGAAAACTTTTTCAGAGGATTTCCAACAAAACATAATGCCTAGTACCCCCCATGTTCTTGACTGGATTTTCTTAATCGGTCGGGATGTTAAGGCGTCGTCCACTGTCCATGGTGTGGCATGTGCTAGCATGTCAAAACATGCACACGAGTGGGTACCTCGATTAATGTCAGACACCCACTGCACCACTACTGTCGCGGCGATGTGGCATGTCAAAACATTATGTTGAAACTTTGCATGTGGCGAACGTAAACATGATGTTAATCAAGGTGTTTTCTTATATGGCGGCGGAGTGACATCTGCTAGCATGGTAAAAAAGCTTGTCGAGGTTCGCCTTACGCCACATTACATCCACATGATCTTTTGGCATGTTGTATGATGCCACACCGTCGCCACAACAGTGGGCGCCTCGTCTCGTGTCCGCAGTACGTTGTTCTAGAGTTATTCCGATTACACGAGTGAATCGCGTAAATGGAATACACGTAGCATGTGGGATTTGATTTAATTGGTTCCAAAATGGAATACCCCGTGATCCCGGCGATATAGGAAGTTACTGTCTTAGGCAAACATTTTAAGGTGAATAAGGTCTTTCGGATGGTGCACATATAAGTTCAGAGTTCAGTCACTAGGCGGCGTAAGTGTATATATGAGATTTACTATGTGCTATTTATATCTCATGAACCTGACTTTCATGGAAAATACAGTCCTCAACAATGTTTTTTTTTCGGTGGACACGGTTTTTCACATGAAGAACAGGTTAGTTGCGACTGCTCCTGTTACGCGGTGCTATCATAGAGGTAACTCTAAAACCACTGGGTCCCGAAGAAAATCATTATTATTTTTGGCTCACTCAGTACCAGAACAACGGTCCCAAGCAGTCCCAAGCTATTTCACTCACCCCTGCATGTTCTGCATGAATCCACACACCCCTGATGTTATCTGTCAAACTTTCATAGCGAATCAAAACAAACATAGTGTAGTAATAGAATTTCAACTAGAATAGGGTACGTTAATCGTTTGCTTGGGACCAATAGGCTACTAAAGTGGTGAGCCAATTTAAAATCGTTAGTTTCGTATTGATTGTTGGTGCTATTGCATATGTGATATTTACTATGTGCTTTATCACAAGGCCCTGACTTACTAGGAAAATACAGTCTTCTACATAGTTGGTAAGCTAACCAAGTCATATAAAATGATGGACAATAAGTGTGGAACCTACTCACTACACGGCGCTAGTGTGTGTAATAGCTTGTGCATGTATCATATCTCAAAACTTTGGCATACTGGGAAATAACTGTTCACTGCAAAGTTGTTCAGATGGCCAAGGTCACTGCAGAGTTGTCCAAAAAATATATGAAAACTTTCACGGATTTTTCATACGTTGTCGTAAGCGTGATTGACAAATTTTATGGATAATCCGGATCATCTGGACAACCTGTTTGTGGCCTCTAGGGTGTATAATTTGGCCTTAATGCCTAAATCAGTCAGAAAATACATCAACAAGAGCTTGCGCAAAAAAACATGGAGCTCTAGGACCAGTTTCATGAATTGACCACTTCTACGGATGTTTGGGATCTCATAGAAGATCAATGTGCTGCATATTTTGACCACAAATGAATGCACAAAAAATCATTTAGCTATAGGCCAGTTTAATTAATTTACCTCTTTCACGGATGTTCCGGATCTTTCGGAGGACCAGTCTGTGATTCCCAGGGTCTATATTCTGGCCACAATGTGAAATTAATTCTAAAAACACATCAAAAAGTGTGTTCGCAAAAAACCACCCAAAAAACAATCGTCTATAGACTTCTTGCCGCAAGATCTCACTAAACCAACCGTGCTGGTATAACAGTGTAAAAACGATTTATTTATTATTTTCAACCACGAAATCAACTGTCAAAGTGTTCGACCTGACAGTGGTTTGTTTTTTATTTTCAACCAGTAGAAAGCATGTATTAGTGCAACTGCTCACTAATACTAACGGTGGCAGAGAAGTCTATTGAAGAAACGACTTCTTGGCCATTTTATTCAACTGCATGCTTAATAGTACTTATACTATTTTTAATAATAACTTCTGTTCAGGCTTTGTTCACACAAATCTGGAGAATTTATTCAACCTCAACATTGAACTACTTGGTGTTGTATAAGGTATATCGAGAAGCTTTTATTCGACTTATATGAGTTGTAACAGAGCTTATTCGATAACATTTTTGATTATTCAGCGTTCATTAGACATCACTGCTTTCCTTAAAACAGTGATGCTCTGCATACGCTTGATTCTCGTGTAAAGTAACGATTAATTAGACATTATTATACATTTATTAAACGATAATTCAACTGTGGGAAAATTGACCCGAAAATAAGAGGGACGCCCTAATAAAAATAACCATAAAGAGAGCTTAACGACGTGTTCGTAGTATCATCCAAACCATTTGTGGGATAGTTAACCCATTCGGGGTACAGTTCGTTTATGGTATTTGTTTATTATGGCGGGGACATGGAAGGGTGTGATTTTTTTTCATTATTTCTGACGTGGCTCGCACCACACAGATATTAGAAAATTTAGTAAATACTTATACATGTCGTTGCATGGGATTTGACCCATGTACCTTCCGATCACCAGCCGCTTGCCTTCTCATCTGAGCTATCCTAGGATTCATCATATGGGCAATTCGATAATCAATAAAATCTTGCTTGAAAGTAAATACACAGCAAAAAAATAATTTTGATATCACGTCAAAGTGGATGCACTACAATCAACAATCAATATGAAACTAACGATTTTAAATTGGCGCACCACTTTAGTAGCCTATTGGTCCCAAGCAAACGATTAACGTACCCTATTCTAGTCGAAATTCTAGTACTACGCAATGTTTGTTTTGATTCGCTATGAAAGTTTGACAGATAAAATGAGGGGTTATTGGTTTTTCCTATGTTTCGAGGGGTGATTCGACAAGCTTGGGACCGAAGATAGTACCAGAGGTGAGCCAAAAAGTTGAGCACGTTTCTTCGGGACCTACTTGGCTTAGAGTTACCTCTATGCTACAATCATGTCGAAAATATGGTGTAATATTACTTGCTAAAAAGGACAAAATTATTATTAATACAATGCATGAACTGACATTACGCTGCTTTAACTGCATTTGTTTATTTATGTGGTCATAAAAATTACATGAAATTTTCGACATGATTGTAGTGCATCCATTTTGATGTGATATCAAAATTATTTTTTTGCTGTGTACCTATTAGCACTCCCGATCGCAACTCTAGCTCCTTCAAGGCCCGTGACATCACATTGAAAACTATTTCTGCTATCAGTGAGAGCAAACTGAGAACTAAATATGATGTCCTTTTTTCTTGTTGATAACAAAACAAGAATTCAATTTGATGTTATGCTAAGGCAATGAAAACAAACATGCAACAACATATTTTGAAGAGCAAATGTACAGTAAAATGAAAACAAAATTTGGTAGGGGAATTTACGTATTCTCGGCAACCTAAGCAGCGACCTTCTTTCTATAGCCTTTTCTCTAAGGAACGCACACATATGCAGTATTGGTTTGTCTACAATCTTTTGCTGCCAGCTGCTCTAACAATTTCAGTCGAAAGAATTGTCAAAAACTGTTTTGAAACGCTTTTACAAAGCTCCAATCTTCTCTAGTGAGAGCGAGTATTGTCGGCAACCAGTTTTTCTTCGGCAACCATTCCATTTGAACTGCATGTAAATCTGCTGTTCTATTATCGGCAACTCGAAATCAGCTACAATTTGTAGTGCGTGTATTTCATTTCAAGAAAACCTTGCTAGATTGCTTTTTCTCAGTGGTAAAAATATAGTCAAATTGAAGCTGAAAGCATAAAGAATCGTTTGCATGCATTCAGCGAAGTGTTTTCGTAAGAAAATTCAGTGAAAATAGTGTTTCAATTTGGGTTGCCGAAAATAGTCTGGCATGCCGAAGCCGTCATTTCCCCTATCAAATTTGTCAATTGCGTATACTGAAATCAAATTATCATTTCAGTTTGAAGATTATATCAAAACTCGATTTGATTTTGCTGTCTTTTTGATGCTGGACTTTGCTCGGGATGCTTGCTTAAATTTTAAACTAGATC